TGCACAGGACAGTTTTGAACTCTTGGGCTCAAGTGATCCTCCCTCCTCCATCTCCCAAGTAGGGTGGGGCTACAGGCCCACACCACCACACCTGGCTCATTAAACAGTATTTGAAACAGAGCCTTGTTCTGTCACCTGGGCTTGAGTGCAGTGGTGTGATCATAGATCACTGCAACCCAAACACGTGGGCTCCAGCGATCGTCCCGCCTCAGTCTCCTGAATAGCTAAGACTATAGGTGCACACCATCATGCCTGGCTGATTTTTTTTTTTTTTGGTAGTGTTTCGCTATGTTACTCAGGCTGGTCTCGAACTCCTGGTCTCAAGCAATCCTCCTGTCTTAGCCCCCCAAAGTGCTAGAATTATAGGCATGAGCCATTGCACCCAGCCCACATTAAACAGTATTCTACAACACTATTCTATTATATAGATACAAGATAACTCATTTACATCCCAGGATTGTCATTTGTTTCCGATATTTTGCTATTATAAAAGAATGTAGTCATGAACATCCTTGTTAAACCATCTTTCTTATACGTCTGTTTTCTTAAAAAAAGATTTTTTGAACTGTGGGACTGCTGTATCAGAGAGCATGCAAGGTCAAGGATTTGTTACACGATGTCACACTCCTTTCCAAATGGCATTTTCATGCTGTGTAAAACAGGTAAACGTACACACACACTGTATGCACCTATATACCCTCCAGTTCATTCTAAAGTCCCTGCATGTTCAATGTTCTGTTATTTGAGCACCTTGTCATACCAACTCCCAAACTCACTGTTGGAATATCCTCACCTGCACTGGACACCCTGCTTCAATGTGCAGTCGCTGTTGCAGCAGGTGTCGTTGTTCAGGTACATGATGCCAGGATCACACTCTTCTCCTTCGTCCACCCTCGAATTCCCACACACCTTGTTGCTGCGTTCTTGAAAACATTCCTGGGCCTTACTTTCAATGGTCTTATAGATTGACTGTTTACTGCAGTTTGAAAACATCTTAAGAGAAAAAAGGCCACAGGACCCAAAATAACATCATAAAAATTAATTCCCATTTAGTGCTTGTGCTTCTTCTCTAGGGACAAATTCTTAATGTAAAAACCACCATCAATGCCATCCTGGAATTATGTCAAGGCCATCAGAGTCACCTCCAAATGCCACAGATATGAAGCGCTAAATGGCTGGTGGGAACTTGGTCAAGGACCTAAAAATTCTTCAGATGAAGACAAGCAAGCTATGCAAGTACTGAGACCAAACATCCCAGCCAGTGCCCTCAAGGGGACAAGCAGTCTAGCACAACAGAGAGCTCAAGAGTTCCATCAGACTCAAAGTCTTCCCCAACCCCAGGCATGCCACCGATGCAGTGACATGAGAATTAGGCACAGACTGTCATCCTCCCAAACAAAATGACTCAGGAGAACAGAAGAGGGTCTGTTTTTGGTTTACTCCCTTCTCTTGCCCTGGCTATTTATATGGATGATCCACATTTAAAGTTTTTAAATATTTGAGCTTAGTAAGAGGCATGATATTATAAAGAGTCTACTAAAAAAAAATTAAATCCCAAACTGTTACCTAAACATTTCACGGGTCAGCAAGATTTTAAGTTTCTCTGAGTTTTGCTACAGTTGACCAGTGTCTGAAAGGAAGATCCTAGCTTCTCACCTTGGAGTACAAATTCTTAAGTTTAAGAATTTTTCCAGGAGCTCTAAAACTGAACGTATTTTCCAGACCACCTGAAATTATCAGAAAAAGGGGTAAGGCCAGGTGTGGTGGCTCATGCCTGTAATCCCAGCACTTTGGGAAGCTGAGGCAGGAATTTTGAGACCAGACTGAGCAGGAGTGAGACCCCATTTCTACTAAAAATAGAAAAATTAGCC